ATTTCTGTAATTCCTCCATCTTAGTTTGTCCTAGGATCTTCAGCTGGTCCTGGTTTAACAACCCAGGATCTTCAGCTTTACCCCACAAAGTTTTGTGTGGGAAGACCTGCTCTGCATGCACCATGGCTATCCTATCCCTGCTGGCTCTGTGGAACCCCAAAGTTTGTCTCACAAGCAGATGTTGCCGAGACATGGATGAAGAAAGCCCTGCCACAGTCATTGGTGGGAAGCCTGTGGTCCATCCTTGAGCAGCTGCGTGCCAATGAGGGTGAGAGGGCTGGAGTGCACGTGTACAGCATTAGCCAGAGCACTGGCCCTCTTGGCTAGCAGAGGGCACAGTGTGGCTGTTCCCACTGTATTTATTAATGATCACACTGGTCCCATTTCATGGCTTCTCCAAACTAGTTGTCTACCCCAGTATAAATGAGAACCCACCAGAAACCGCCTGGTCTGGAGGGGCTTGAAAACACTGCTGAGGGGATGCCTGAAGAAGCTGCAGGAGGAGGAGGAGTTGAGCAGGCTTTGCACAAGTCTCATGCAGGCGGTGGGATTGCTGGAGCCGGTGATGTTGAAGATCTCCTCAGGGCCAGGGATGTCTGATGTGTCATCATTGATGGCACAAGGCCCAGTGTGCACTGATTGCCACTTCACTTCCCGGGAGTAGGTGAGGGGCCAGCAGGGATTAGACACAGTTTTAGCATTTCTCTGATCCTGGAGACAGAATAAAACAAGGACAGAGGCAGCAAGAGAAGAGGTTGGCATCCCAGGGCTTCACAAAGGAAGACGAGATGTAACACAGTGAAGAACAGTTTTCCTCTGGCACCACAATGTTGTAACTGAGCAGGCAGGTTGCAAAAGGTTTGTTTTTAAAACCTTATCTCAGCTACTCAACTGCAAGGCTCAGGCTGATGCAGAAGGCTCCCAGCTCCTGCAGTGTTCAGGGCAAGCTGCACTGACTGTGGGAGGTTGGCTCATCCTGGCCCTACCTGCTCTCCCTTAGAAATACAATTTCAATGAATCCTGGACTCTAATTGCAAGAAAGAAGCTGTGCTGGTTGCCCTTCCAAATGGCTCAACCCCCTCAAGAACTGGTGTTTCTTATCTCCAGGAATTCCCCAATATAACTGTGGTGAAGAGGGTCTCCATGTGGGACATTCAGGTCTCAAATAAGGGGAGGTGTGGTTTATAGGGAGGCAAGTGGATGAGCAGCGAGTAGTTTATTTCTGGAAAATTCAGTTTTGGTGGAGATTAAATGATTCCTGAGTTTGCATCAGATGCTGCCCCTCTACCAAGTTGAAATTAAGTTTGGAAGAACTAAAATTTTTCAAAAATGGTTTTCAAAATGAAATAATGCTCTTTTAAAGATGCTGCAGGGTTAAAGTCAGCAAAGGAAATACCCCAAATGGAAGGTCCCAGTTGGTTCTTAAGTGCTGTTGTTTAGGACCCCTTTCTAGGATGGAGGAGCAGGTCAGAGGAGCCAAGGGAAGTCTTTGCCCCTCTCCACCCTGGAGGTGATTTTAGCATCTCTGGAGAACAATTTTGCGTTCATGGGTATTAAGGAAGGGGCTGAATAGAGCCTGCAAGTAGGAAACTCTTGAATGAGTGCCTGTGGGTCTACTTGGAGGGCATTGATTGGGGCATAGAAAATACATTTTACAAATGCACTGGGCGTTTTTAGATACGTGGTTATGTCCTCTAGTAAAGACAGTGACTGACATTTTGCCCATTAAAAGCTACACCTTGTGGAACTGTCACTTAGTGAGGTTGTAACCAGGAGCCCTGTAAATGTTGTTCTGGCAGATACTCACTTGAATGAGCTCAGAGAGCAGCCTGCTGCGGAGCTGGTCCGTGCCGTGGCAGGGGCAGTGATGGGTGTACACGTTGTGTGTCTGCCCATACAGCTGCAGCTTCACTCCTTCTTTTGGTCCTTGGTTCTCTTTTTCCACCTTGGAAGTGAGCTGTGTTGAGGTTCCTTCTATGGACAAGATTCCTGCCATCCCCTTCCCGGAGGGGACCAACTGTCCTCGCCAGTCATACTGACCAAAAAAAGAACCAGAGAGATCAGTTCTTGAGACTTCTACATCTGGGTCACAATCAGATGCAAACATTAGTGCACAGAGAAAGAAAGCAGCTTTCTGGTACAGTGGAGCCCAACATTGGGGGTTTTTTTGTGCCCACAGGACATAAGGATGCTGAACTGTGGTGGTTTTGGAGGGAACAGAGGAGCCATTGGACGAGCACTGCCATCTGCACAGCCAGTGAGAGCAAAGAGGGCTCACCACCCTGGTTCAAGGAAGGGGTCTCAGCAGGTAGGAGCAGGGGGGAGAGGAGAGGGGGTTGGTGGTGGGGAATGGGAGGGAGGTTTCCAGGTGGGGAGGGGACATACGGGCTTCAAGTGCTGCCTTGATGCTCAAGTGGTCCTCCTGTCAGAAGAACCCTGTGGTTTCATCTCCTGCAGTCTTGCAGAACTGATTTTGGCAGTGCTGAAGTTAGCAGTACAGGCAGGGAAGTTTGTGTGGGTGTAAGCACTCTGTCCCTGGCCCGTGTCACTTCCCTAACCAGAGCATGCTTGCTGCTGGTTATCAGAACTGCCTTCCACTATTCCCTGATGTGGAATAACTCAGTCTAACCCACCTTTCTTTTGCCCTTTGAGTTCTTCTTGAGACCCTTTGGCTTGAGAAACCGTGGGCAGAGCAAGGAAACTTAAATGTTGTCTTCTTGTTTATAAAGTGCCTTCTGAATACAGACCAGGCCCCTGTGCTGGGGACACCCAGCTATGCTCTCAATGAGAAGAAATTTGATGGGCTTTTGCTTTGGCAGCAAAAGACTCTGCTTCTCTGTCCACCATCCATAGCATGTCCTGAGGGACATCTCCAGTGGCAATCCCACAGCAGCAATGCCTGTTAGAGCTGCAGGGACTCAGAGTGGTGGAGTTCTGGTTGACACCCCAGGGCCAGGCTATGTAAGGTCATATGTGTGTTCACCCTGGATGTGTTGTACAGAAAGCTTCAGATCTGTTAGAGCAACTGCATGAAAGGTTATATTAGAGGTTTGGTCCTTCAACTGAGTTATAACCATCACTTTTTTCCCCAGCCAGCTGGTGTTGGGTCTAACCTGCCTCCTCTGAAAGGCTTTGTTGTGCTTAGGCATTGTTTAAAATACAAATAAAATAAAATAGGCATAAAATAAAATACAATACAATAGGCATTGTTTAAAACATGGGGTTTTAACAATCCCTCCACATGTCTTGGTGCCTGTTTGTTAATGGGAGTTGCTCAGCTCAGTTCTGTGCTCCCCAGGCAGGATCATCCTTTACCTTGAAGAAGTTCTCCAGGACATAGTTAACAGCAACCCAGTTGAATGCTTCCTTGTCTGGACCAGACAGGATTTGTGCCCCATGGAAGTTGAAGGGGGATGACTTCAGGGCCACAGTCAAGGCTGTGAGGAGACTGTCAGAGAGGATGGGATGGGTGAGGCTGAAAAGAAAAGAAAAAGAAAGCACATTTGTTGTTGGGGGCACAGCTGAAGGGCTTCTTTGGGTAGTAGGACAGAGACACAATTGCAATCCCACTCCTGCTGCTACTTCCCTCACGTGTCACTGGGGCAAGAACAAAAGAGGGATGATTTGAGCAGTTGTGCCATGATTCAAGAATTTGGGAGTTTAGTACCCTCTGCCACTGAAGGGATCCTGTGACCTTGCCCCACTGACCTGGTACCCCCCAGACCTCACCCCAGTGTATAAAAGGAGAGAAATCCCAGTGATGAGGTGACTGAGAACAGGGTCCACAAAAGTGTGTATGACAAGGTGGATTTTCCCATCATTATTCCCAACCTGCTGACAAGAAGCACCCCTCCAAGTCCATCTGGGTTGTCACATAAACTGAAAACACTTCAGCTTCCAGACTGCCAGGTGTTTTCCCAAACATGAATGGTGAAATCCTAATTGTGAAGGAGATGTTCCACAGAGTGGTGGCAGTAGCAAGACTATGATCCTCATGGCTGCTTGGAGGGACAGTATGGAGACACAGCCGTGCTGTCCTCCCCTTGAGTACATCAGGACCTGAAGAAGGTTTACCTGACTAGCAGATTAGGGGTGAAACACACTGCAGAGCAGACAGGGTGAGATGCATTTACAGAATGATCCGTGTGATGTGTGCTGAGCTCTGGGTGTGGGTTTGCAACGTTCACTCACTTCAGCTGCTTTGTGCTGGTGGTTGCTCCCAAGTAGAGGGGGGTTTGGCTGTGAAGCTCTGCTGGGATCTCCTTCTGGGCCCAGTTCAAACATGGCTCCAAGCTCTTCCTGACTTTTTGAGGAGAATCTGAGTAGTTGGAGACTCCTGGACCTGATGGGAAAGAATGAAATTTCCTAAGGAAAGGTACGGGAGAAATGTAAGAGTTGTTACCCAAGAGGGTGCTGTCCTGGGGCATGGTTGAAGACTGGACCTGTCACAGGTGAATGAAGGAGTTCCTCCAGGTAGCTGTCCTGCTAAAATATGGGAGCAAAACACCTATGCATGTAAATCCAAAATCACACTAAGAGAATCCCAGCTTGGCTGCTGAGACATCCCATAAATGACCATATACCAGCCACATGACTACTGCAACAGCTCAGGCTGTCTCAGCCCACAGAGGAAGAAATGTGGCTTTAGCTGCTATACAAGATAAGCCAATGGACACGCTGCCATGCAGATAG